CAGTCCCCACAGGTCCCAGCAAACTCTACCCTGAGTGCTCAAGCCGGGGTAGGGCTTTTGGTATTTCTGCCTGTTCCTACCTGTCACAACCAGCTTCCCCATCCCACCTAAAATACAAAACTGGGCAGGTGCTGGGATACCAGGCAAGGACTCCCTCAGCACTGAGCACTGTTGACACTGGGCTAGGTCATTCTCTGGCAGGGCCCAGGGTACTACAGGATGCTGTGTAGCATCCTATAGGTAGAGCTGCCCTCTACCCACTCTATGCTAGAATCTCCCCTAGCATGGCTCCCCTAGTTGTGACAGGCACACGTCCCCAGACATGGTCTAAGGTCCTGGGGACAGGATCACAGTTTGCAACCCCTACTCTGACCCCCCAAAATAGATGTCTCATTTAAACAGCCCCAGTCCAAAGTTCCATGCCAGGTTTGCACAGGTCACAGAGCCAGATTCTCAAAGTCCCTGCACACAGAGGTGCCAGATGAGGAAGCCACCTCAGAACACAGCAGTGTATAGTTCAATCTGTGTGTTGTAGGTGCGGTCACAGCTATGGGGAAAACAAAAAAAACCCAACAATCGGGTCTTGAAAATCTGGGAGGAAACGTGGCAAGCCTGAGACATGGGATGGGCAACTAATGAAGCCTTCTGAACTTTCTGTGTCCTCCAAGGTTTCTAAATAAATATTCCTCCCAGCACAGAAAACAAATACTTTGGAGACACAGTGTTAGGTGAAGATAGCCACATGTGCAAAGGGTGTCCATCAGGTGGGGCTAACTCAGGCTCTTCTTAGCAGCTTCAATTCTCCACACTTACTAAAGGTACCTGCCTTGGAAACCCACCACCTTTCTTCTAATCCCATCTTTACAAGGAAGGGAGAACAATAAAACCACCCACTCAGCACAGGACTGGGCAGGGCTGGTCTGGGCTTGGACACAGAGGGACCATGCACTTAGGACTCTTGGGTTCCCTGGAAGAGAAGGGGCTCACAGTGGCTTGGGGAAGAAACGGCTGATGGCCAGGGTCCTTTAGCAGAGGTGCCTCTGCCCATGAGACTCCAGGTAGCAACTGGGGACCTTTGTGGTTATCACACCTGGGGGGTGGGACAGGGGTGCTACCATTCAGCAGGAAAAGGCCAGGGATACTAGTCCACATCCTACAATGCACAGGATGGCCCGGCCCACAACATCCACAGGGCCAACTTTTCTCCATGGGTTACAAAGCGCCCACCTGGACCATGGAGGCAGCTGGCTGGCCTGACACTGAGTGGCATGCTGGCTAGTGAAAGCACCCTTAGGTCCTCATGGCCCCTGGCCAGGTCTGTGATGCACACATCTCCCCCTACTGGACATTATATGCGAATCAGTTATTTCCCTGGAATTGGGGATTGCATGCAGCAGCTCCCTTGCTGGGAAAAGCCTGGACCAGCCACAGCACCCACGTTATGTCTCTGAGAGGCCTACACAGGGTGACTAATGTCACTCCCCCACCATGGAAACTGGCTAGCACCCAGCCCTGGGAGGCAACCCAGTGCATCCCTTTTCCGTGAGGCACACAGAGGAAGGAAAACCCACCCCTGAAGCAGGGAAGTACCTACTCTCCCTAGCCTCTCTCCCCGTTCCTGGCTCAGCCTCCTAGGACATGGTCAAGTCCCTTCATTCTGTCTCTCCCAGGGCAGAGCACAGAGCCTGGCCAGTGCTGACATCAGTCATGTGGCCCAGGGATGCCAACAGCAGGACTTGACAGAAGGCGGCAAGCAGGGATGGGGTCTAATGGCCACATATGCATAAGCCAGAGGCTTCCCTACCTGTGCAATGGGGCTGATCCTTCCCACCAGTGTGCACAGCACAATCTGCCCAGGTGCATGCTGTGGGAGTCCAGTAGGATCTGGGAACCCACTTGGAGTACACAGCTGAAGAGGCCACAGAAGGAATGGGTTCCAATCTGTGCTGGGAAGTTCAGGTCAGCTCCCAAAACTGGGAGAAGCCAACACACAGAACTGCAGCCTACTCAATACCTCAGCACTCCCACTCCAGCCCTACATCTGGTTGCTGACCTGACCACCCATCCCATTCCCTCCTCCTAGGAACACACTCTTTCCTCTCTTGCCATGACCAAACCTCGTATAGAACTCCTGCCCTTGCCTCACTCCTAGGAATCAACATTGTCCACAGTCCCACCCAGAGTAAGTCATGAACAATTCCTGCTGGGCCTGTGTCCAAGTCCAAGACATCAACATGATCCAGTCCTAGGGGCTCTTATGGTTGAAACTGTGCATCTCACTCCCGGCTGTTTCCCTGCAGGCCCCTGTGTTGCAGGCTCCCTAGGTAGGCAAGAGGGTCAGTCTGCCAGGTACCCTGATACCCATCTTCTCATTGTGGTTCCTTGCACCCTACCTCGGTCAGCTGGGAAATTGTCATCTGGGAGAGTTTCTACCCCAAAGGGAAAGCCAGGGCTTTGGGGCCTCTAAGAGCTGCTGGGTCAGCCCTTCCATGCACCTGGCCAAACCCAACTAGGATCCAAACAGCCAGGCAGGTCCAAGGACAGGGGCAAAGAGGGAAAGCTGAGTCCTTCAGTCCTATGGCACAAGGTGGTCCTTTGGCTCCCTGATCTAGGTGCACTGGCCCACCTGCCCCTCCAAGTCAAATCTACAGACACTGCCCAGTTCCTGGGGACCCTCCCTACAGCCTTCAAGCCCCATCCCATGCCCCCTGCTTCCCAAGAAGGATCCCCTCCCACTTCGGATGCCCCACTGCTCCTGGCAGCCCCAGACCCTGTCTTTGCCAGTGATGGTGTGAGCAAATGCCCTTCATTACCCAACTTCAGTCTCCCCATGTAGCGCCCAGTCCAATGGGGCTCCAGGGCTAGTGTGAGTGCAGTGCCTACACCTCTAGCTCTGGGAAGCAGCTACTCTGTCCACCTGGAACTTCATGGGTCTGTTTCCTTGATGTCCACTTCTAGAGTAAGGGCAGACAGGTGCAGAGCAGAGGCTCAGAAACCCCTGCAAGAATTGAACCAATGACAGCACCTGGATTAAAGCAAAAGCACCAACTGAGACGGCCGCTTCTCCCTTGCCCTCCACAAAGCCCAGGGGACACAGCAAAGGCTAGCCACTTTAGCCTTGCTCAAATCTCCACTAGGGTCGGTGCAAGACCCCCACTCTCCTCTGGCATCCTTAGAGGGCAGCCCGACAAGAGGCAACAGAGGGGCAGAGAAGCCCTACACAGTAAGAAGAGTTGAGCTGGGATGAGACCCTCGCCCTCTGCAAGGGAAAGCAGCCAGAGATGTCCCTCCCCACTAAAGCTGGGAGCAGGGCTGCTTATTCTTACCAGCAAAGGGGAAATGCAACAGGTGAACTGGTGTAAATGGTGGTAGGCTGGTACATTTTCTCCATGGGTCTGTGGTACACATAGGACCTCACTAAACCCCCAAAAATGATCCTTTGGGAAACCAATTGGCTGCTTGTGGTACAGAAAGATATGAGAAGACTGATGCAGCATGCAAGATTCCAGACTCCTCAGATGAGAAGATGGAAGGCAAGCATAGACTCTGAAAGGCCAGGACGGGGCTAAAGTGAGGCTCAGTAGTGAATGCAGGCTGGCATACGTGAGGTCCTAGGTTCCATCCTCAACCAGGGACCTGAAGGTCAGGTGGCTCTCCAGAACATCACAAACAACATCCATAAATAAACAAAGTTAAGAAATTGAGTTTGGACAGGGTAAAAATGAACATCATGAGCTGGACCCGGTGGCTCCAAGAAGCCATCCCCACGCACAGCCTTCTCCACCAATGCCCCAAAGTGCCCACCAGAACTGGGGGCCTGTTTCTTGGGTAGTGCTACCTCAGGCAGAGGTATCTTGGGTACACCATCTTTCTTCCTGCTCAGCAGGGTCCTGAGAGCGAGGTGTGCTTCACTTGCAGCTCTGAAACGCCCACATCTGGCACAGTAAGGATGCTGGGTGCCAGGTGTGGAGTAGGACCATGGATACACTGCAGGTAACTCGTGCAGGTGTTTTGCGGATTTGTGGGTGGGCAACTGGAGAAATAGGAAAACATCCTCTTTTCTCTGACAAAGGAAATAAGGTCTATAATCTAATCCTGAGTGCTACTTTTAAAGATCCTGCACCCAAAACCACTGTTTTAAGGAGAACGTGGTATTTGTCACCAGATCACCAGACTAAGACACCTAGGGTATAAGAAATCAGGGCCTCAAAGAAGGGAAGAGCCACTCACACGGGATGAAGGTCACTGGGGGAGTATGAATGACACTACACTTAATAATCCTCTATCCAGGAGGTCTGTCTTTATTATGTCCCTGTCTTTTGCTCCAATCCAAATCCTCAGGGTTCCTAACGGTTCACCTCAAATCCCACACCTCCTACAAGAAACGCTGCCTGATCCCCCGAGGCTCTCACCAAGGCTACCATGGCACCGATAATCACCATGATGGTGCTGGTGCGACGTGCAGTCCAACGAAACGCAGAACACTCCTGCAAAGCCTATGGCCGCCTGGGTCAAGTGGGTTCTGACTTGCTTCCTATTCGTTCGTGTCTGATACATGGCTGGACACACAGCAGGTGCTTCTCGAATTAACTACTGGAGACTGGAATGGACGCCACCAGGGGCGAGGCCGGGGAAAGTATCGTGGAAATAAACAAGAGCAGCCACAAACACATGAGGTCAAGACAGCGGCGGAAATGGTTTCCCTACAGAGGACTCTGGCCCAAACCCCCTCCCCCGGGTCACGCCTAGTGCTCGGCGCCCCAGCCCGCACCTTATCTCTCCGCCCTCACAACCTCGGAGAGCACGTCCTCTTGTTTACGTTTTACACTCGCGGAAACAGCCCAGCCAGTGATACAGGGTGCCAGGGTGGGGGGCTTGGGAACCGTCACCCGCGAAGGTGTGGGGAGAGGGCTGGACAAGGAAAGGCAGTGCGGATGGGCCCGGTGGTGACATCCAAACCTGAGCAGGGAGCCGAGACGGTGCGGGCGGGCGGGCATTACCTGCTGCCGGGGGCGCCGCTACGCCGCCGCCGGGGACCCGGGCCCCACGGTGCCGGAAGTGGCAGTAGGGTCGCCGGCAAGGCCCCCCAGGTGCCCCCGCCCAATACGGGCAGTCGATAGCCCGGAAGAAACCAGTGGAACGTAGCATGGTTTGTCCCGCGGCAGGGCTCTAGCCCGGAGCCGCCCGGGCTCCCGGGCCCCTCACTGGCGCCGCGGCCGTCGCCGCCCGCGCCTTACGAACCTCGCCGCCGCCATCTTGCTCCGAGGCCCCGGGAGGCCCCCAGGACGCCGCTGCAAGGGACCCCGGGAGGGGTTGCCCGCGGCGCGCCTGCTCAGGAAAGCCTGCTTCCGCGGGGCCGCGGCGGACGGCGTACCTATGGGCAGGGGCATGAGAAGGTCCGGACGGCTCAGACGGCCCCTCCTGTGGCCTCTACGAGCTTCTCGGGCACAAGCGTCGGCTGTTTGCGGCTACAGTTTCATCATTTTGAACCTCAGGCCCTTGCGGTGCCTGGGCTGTCCACAATGCGCCTGACTGAAAAAAAAAAAGTGCCTCGTGCCCAGTTTGGTTATTTGCATTTGGTTAGCCTATAGCCTTAAAGCGCCCCCTGGAGAACGAGGCGAGTCTTGCGTGTGGGTCTTACCTGTCCTGTGCCAGGAGATACCGACGATGCCACCATCACACTCAAAAACTCACCTGGCCCTGGCATACAGCTGTTTCTCAACGCATGCCTTAATCTCTCCCACGACTCTTGTTAGCAGACTGATTCCTACATCCACACTCACTCGTTTGTTCACGGAATACTGAGCGCCAGTTATATACAAGACCCTGCACTAGATGGTACTGACAAGGGGAACAAGGTGTGGATGTGGAGTCTTGCAATTCCGCAGCGTAGGCTCACTTTTTTTTTTTTTTTTTCGTTGATACTGGAGATCGAACTCAGGGCTTTGTGCTTGCTATGCAAGTGCTCTACCACTTGAGTCACACCTCCAGCCCCAGACTCACGTCTTAATGGGAAGTTATAAGAATAACCTAAGGGATTTGGGTGAGATAGTAAAATGGTACAAGTTCCCGGAAAACAGTATGGAGAGTCTCAGAAATTAAATATAGCAATTCCACTTCTGGATACGTACCCACAGAATTTAAAGCCAGGTATTGAAGAAAGATTTCTACACCCATGTTCACAACAGCATAATTCACAACAGTGGAAACAACCCAAGTGTTTACTGATTGACGAATGAATACATACAGCATGTATTCCGACATCACAAAGTGGAGGGACCTTGAGAACACGATGCTCAATGAAATGAGCCAGACACAGAAGGACTCACTCTTAGGTGGTGAAGATCCATCTTGTCCAAGCCAGGAGGGTTAGAGGCATGTAAAGTCTCAGTTGGATTTCTCCATGTAACACCCTTTCTCCCTGATGATGTCCCATCTCAGCTCTCACACAGACATTTCTCATTCCCTACAGTGTAGTGATTTCATTAATCCCTGTCTATACCCCAAACCCCACCAGTATGGGAGTGTTAAGGATCAGGACCTTATGACACCCTAGGTACAGAACCCACAACACAAATCTGTTGAATTGAACTAATGAAGCCAAGTGAATGAATCCATGCTCAATTCAGTGGGTGAAGAACACTCTATATTAAATTCCTGATAACTGGGGTGTAACTTTTTTTTTTCATTTTGTTTCTTTGGGCAAGATGTAGCTGTTGCCCAGGCTGGCCTTGAACTCCTTAGCGCAAGCGATCCTTCTAACTCCCAAGTATGAGTATGGAGAGCAACACCACAACAAGAAATGCAGTCAAAGGGGAGCTGGTAGAGTGGTTTAAGTAGTAAGAGCACCTGCCTAGCAAGCATGAGGCCCTGAGTTCAAACCCCAGTGCCACCAAAAACAGGACATACAGTCAGAGGCAAGCATAGGGAATTCCACCTGACCAAGTATCCTCCGGTTTTTTTTTTTTTTTTTTCTTTTTGTGTGGTACTGGGGCTTGCACTTAGGGCCTACACCTTGAGCCACTCCACTAGCCCTATTTTTGTGAAGGGTTTTTCGAGATAGAGTCTTGCAGAACTATTTGCCTGGGCTGGCTTCGAACTGCAATCCTCCTGATCTCTGCTTCCTGAGTAGCTATGATTACAGGCATGAGCCATTGGCGCCCAGCTTATCCTCTGCTTTTTGTTTGGTTTTGGTGCTGGGGATGAACTCATGCCCAAATGCTCACCACTGAACTTCATCCTTTTAAAGTGAACAATTCAGTGGCATTCAGTACATTCACAAAGTTGTGTAACCACCACCTATGTTAAGTCTGTCACCCAAAAGACCTTCAGTTGGGCCTCTCATGAAGAAGTAGCATTTAGACAGGGACCTGAATGAGAGTGAGTGCTATACCCTAAAAAAAATCTCACAGAAGAGTCTTCCAGGCACTGTGCAAAGGCTCTGGGGTAGGATTGAAACTGGCTTGTTGGTAGAACGTAAGGGAGCTGAGGACTTGGGCTTTAACCTAGAGGGAGGGTTCTAACTTAGTGCCCAGAGGCACCTTCTGCTGGTTTCTGTGCGGAGGACAGATTGGGTGAGGGACACCAGGGGATCAGGGCAAGTGAGCAATGCTTGGGCTGGACCAGGAGGAGGTCCTTAAAGTAGGGAGATGGGCTGTGAGTGCTGCCCAGTGCCAGAGCGCTTGCCTAGCATGTGTGAGGTCCTGGGTTCCATTCCCAGCACCACACACGGAAAAAAAAGGATTATGGGCATCTACGTATTTGTGGTTCTGGGGATGGACCCAGGGTACGTGGGCAACCACTCGACACTGAGCTGCACTCTAAGCCTTGGAAATACTTTGAAGGTAGATTCCACAGAGATTTCCAGATAAACTGGATGGAGAGGGGAGGCAGAAGGGAGGTGAGGAGGACCCAAGGATTTTGGCTGGTACCTTGGAGTGACAGGGACAGCTTGGAGCTTGGGCTGGGAACAGCCGGATCTACTGAGGGCTGGACATGGGGGTGTTGTCGGCCTGCAGAGGGTCAGACTTGGACCGGTTTTGGGGAGTGAGCGTGAAAGGAGCGTGTGACAGATGGGATCTTGCGGGCGCAGGTGGAGGACATCCAGGTGGGTCGAGAATGCCAGAAGCCCACGTGGGAGCCTAAAGCCTGGTGGAAATGTGCCTGAAAGAGGCTGTGGGCATAACCCCACATTCTAGGAATTGTAGAAAACCAGGTAGGAGCTGGAGAGGGCAAGAGATGCCTGTGAGCAGTGGTATTCAGTAGAAAGAAGTAAATGACGCGGGAGCCCTAAGGATGAACCAGCGGGGCTGTCCTCTAGAAAAGGCGAGGAAGGCGAGGATCCGGGACTCAAGTCGGGGACAAGACTAGCATTAACCAGGAAGCGGACCCTAGAGGCGCAGCACTAAGCCAGCGCCGGTCTCGCATTACCATGGGCGACCACCAGGTAGCGAGCCAGCGCTTTCCCCGGGTGGGGCTGGGCGAACGCCGCGGTGGCAGGTGCGTGGGAAGGGGTCGGCCCCGTCTCCGCCTCCCGCGACTCTGCGGGCTATGGAGATCTGGAGTCTTTCCAGCGAGGGATTCAAAGCTTCCTCCCGCTTCTCTATGCTTAGCGCCTGCGACCCACCAAGAAACCCTTCCTCTCCCACGCGGGCCTCCATTTCCAATCGGAAGCTGGCATACAGTAGGCGCTCAATGCGTGAGCGGCGGGACTGGGATGTCGGGGAGCGCTGCTGAGACCTTCCGGGGAGGAGCGTGTTGCGCCTTTGCACAGCCCACACTGGGGCCGGAAGGAGAAGAGGAAGGGGGCAGGAGGGGGGACGCCTCCAGGGTGCAGTGTCAGCACCACGGTTGCCCGGTAACGGGGCGGCAGGCGGACGGGGGGCGCAGCTGCGGGAAGCGTGGGTGACGCTGCGCTAAGCGCGGTGTTCTAGGCCTCAACGCAGGGGGTTGGCACTTCGGGTTGCAGCCAGAGGGCTCTAGTCAAGATCCCCAGATACACCAGCGCGCTGCCTCAGTTTCCCCCAGACTGCAGTGCTGAGCAAGTGGGTGGGACGGAAGGGCACCTGAGCCTGGTGGCTGAGAGCCCTCCTTAGGAAAAAACCACACAGACACTGGGGCAGGGTTTAAAAAAGGGCCCGTTTAATTAAATACAAGGGTGCGGTGGGAGGGGGAGAAAGCACGAGTCCCTGGGGCCTCCTCCCCTGCCCGCCCTGCAGAGGCCACCCTTAAATAGCTGGAACCCAGGTCCCTGTGACTACCACCTCCTGGAGGGATGAGCAGGCTTGGGCCTCTTCCCATCCCTGTATCCTTACAGGATTGCTACTCCCTGCAGAAGGCAGGCAGCAGCTTGGGGCTGAGCCCAAGCAAGACATCCAAAGACACGAGGAAAACAGGGGCCCCAGTCCCTCACCCGCCCCCCACACAGACTAAGGCATCTCACTAACGCTGCCAGAGAAGGGTTTGCAGGCAGATGGACGGGGGAAGCCCTGCAGGACACCCAAGGGGGATGCTTGGGTGAACCCTTCGAGCCCAGCTCCAGAAGGGTGTCCCCTGCCTCCCCCGCCAGGACCCCAGACATGCTTCCCTGGATCCTGCCAGGCTGGAGTTGGATCCAGGCAGAGGTGACATCATTCAAAGCCCCCAATGGGGTGACAGAAAGTTCTGGAACAAATGGGGATGCCAAAGACCTCCTGCAGCTAAGCTGGGGGGGGGGAGTGGAGGGGAAGAGGGATATAGGCCATTTTGGGGTCTCAAGCAGGGAGCCTGGGTCCCCTTCTACTCCAGGATGGAGGTCCTTGATACCTATGTTCCAAAAGAAATCCAAGCCACAGCTGGAAGACATGGGAGAGTACCCTGTAGATTACCCAAAAGACAGCTCTCCCCACCCCCCAAGTACAGATTGGTGACCCTCCCTCACACCTACATCCCCTGAGGACAACGGACCACCCACCGGCCCAAAAATAGGAAGGGATTGGTGCCTGAAAAAATATTCTATCTGGTCCAAAAAAACCAAAAAAAAAAAAAACAAAAACAAAACAATGCGCTAACCCTAGGAGGCTACAAAGCCTCCGCTTCCAGTCCTGGGGCCCAGGACCACCCCTTCTGGGCACTCAGGAGCCAAGGGATGGAGATGGGCAGGATGGAGCCTGCCAGGCCTCTGGGGCCCTGGGCAGGGAGGGTGGCAGTTCTGGCCCAATGGCCACCAGGGCCCTATACAAGATTGTCTATCACGCAGTGCCACAAAGGCCAAACTCAGGGACCCTATCCTGGTAAGAACCAGGACAGGCCCATGGTGCCAGCCACCCACAGTCTCTCTCACACACACACCCAGAAGGGAAGCAAGGCCCCAGGCCAGCAGAGGGAGAGAAATAAATAAACCAGTATTTGCTTCACATGCCTACTTCCCCCTGCTGGCCCTGCCCTAAATGAGCAGAAAAGCTCTTTGGAAGGACCTCAATCCCTCCACACCCCTAATCTCCCAGACTGAGCCTGGAGCCCTCTGGAAACCCTACCACCTCACCCCCCAGGGTCCGAGGTGCTGGGTGATGACCCCTCCGGTGAGAAGAACTGTGGACACCTGAGATTGAGTACCCAAGTGGGGGGCGGCCGGGCTGCACCCCCATTTCCCTGAACATCTCCAATGGCTTTCAGTGGGGTGGGGTGGGGATAGGCAGGGACCCACGGGAACCCCGGTTTATGGCTCTGTGCATACTTTGTCCCAACCTGAAGGGAGCAGCCTGGGGGCCGGGGACAAGCAGTGGGCAAGGGAGGTCCCTGGACAGGCTTCACCCCATACCCCACCCATGGGGGAAGGCAGGGAATAAGAAAAGGTAAAAGTGAGACCTGCAGCTGCCCATCTGGGGTCCCTGTGAAAGGGATGGGAAGAGTTAAGAATCATGGCTATTTACAGACGCCGGCCTCAGGCCACCTCCCAAGCAGGGCTGACCAAAATCCAGTCTCAGGCCCCCACCTTGCTTTCTTGAGGTGGGTTAGAGGCGAGGCCGGGACTGACCGGCCATGGGCCCCAGGAGGGCAGGCATGTCCTCCGATTGCTGGTGGTCCCTGCAGAGGCCTAGCAAGGGGCCACGCTCAGGGTGGGCAGACCAGTGCCCTACAGGCCCACAGGAGCTGGGCTGGGTGCTGGGCTGGGTGCGGGGCTGCCCGCCAGGCTACAGGGCAGGGAGTCGCTGGGCGAGGTGCTGCGAGTGCCAGGGCGACGGAGCAGTTCCGGGCGGAAGCCTGGGTGGCGGCGGGCGTGCTTGGTCAGGTGGTCACTTCGGGTGAACCGCTTGGTACACAAGGGGCAGGGAAAGCGCTTCTCGCCGGTGTGCGTCCGGTGATGGCGGGCCAGCTCATCAGAGCGCGCAAACTTCTTGTCGCAGCCAGGCCAATCGCAGGCGAAGGGACGTTCACCTGGAGAATGGAGAGTGGTCAGCAGGGAAGGGCAATGGAGTGCTCCTAAGGGTCCTGTCACTTGTCTCAGCCCTTTTAGAGCTCCCCATCCACTGTAGAGGAGCCCAACGTGAACTCCTAATATTTTCCCTCTATGTCCCAGGAGCTTTTAGAAACGATGGTACTGCGAGCCATTTCTGCTTGCTATTTATAGAACCCAGAGACACTTAAGACTGCAGTTTCCTCCAGGTCACCTCCCCACACACCCCCCACATTAGGAAGGGTACACTGGTTTTAGGTTTCCTATGCACTCAGACGGAAATATTTAATTTTGCCAGAGGCTCCAATAAGCACACGGCCATGAGTCTTTTCTACCACTCCCTGTCCACTTCTGCCCCAACCCCTGTGGGAGATCTAAAACCGCCCCAGGTGTCTGCGGTCTCACACCACCCTTTCCTCTTCCAAATGATCATGCGGGCGCAACCTCGAACAGGGCAGTCTTCAGCTTCCCGTGCCGGAGGCCCTCCATTGACCCTCGTGGGCCCTCCATGGGCAGAGGAACATGTGAACAGTCCCTCCCCCCACTGCAGGCCACCTACAGCCTCAAAGAATCAGGCACAGGCCAGACTTGGACCCTGGTTCCAAAGCTGGGAAGAGAGGCCGGTGCTCTGTGTACTGGAAGCTTAAGGAGACGGAAGAGACATGGCCTGGAGGGTGCTCAGCGGGTGAGCAAGCCAGGCAGAGGGGGCGGGACCTCCGGAATTCGTAGCTGGCTGGACTGGCCCTACCCCTGCGGAACAGATGGCGCTGGGCAAGGACGGGCCACCACCCAGCGACTTCCTCCACAGACCCCTCCCACAGCCCAGACCGGCCTCGCCCATCTTTTCCCCGAACCAATCGCCATCCCTGCCAGCCCAGCTCCAAGCTCCCAAGAAACACGCAGCTTTTAACCGTGTGATCTGCGTCTCCCCAGCAGACAGGAGGCTCCAAGGTCTGCGGAGGGGCGGGTTGGTCCCACCCTCGGACTCTGGTCTACCCAGGATACCAAAGCCTTAGACCAGCTCTGCTCACTCCTGTAATACTAGCTACTCAGGAGGCAGAGATCAGGAGGACCACGGTTTGAAGCAAGCCACCGGTAATAGTTTGTGAGACCCTATCTGGAAGAAAACCCATCACAGAAAAGGGCTGGTGGAGTGGCTCGAGATGTAGGCGGGCTGGTGGAGTGGCTCAAGACGTAGGCGGAGTTCAAACCCCAGTACTGGGAAAAAAAAAAAATTAGGGTGCAGAACTCGACAGGATGGGATCATTTGGCCAAAGCCCTGCACCCATGGTGGGAAGTGCAGAGGTGACCAGAAGCCAAAAGGACTATGGGCTAGAAACCGTGCTCAGCTTGTAAAGTCTCAGCTCTAAGCGGCTCAAGGGGTCCTTGGGGAAAAGGGCTAGCGAAGGGGAGGAGAAGGTGGGGCCAAGACGTGGAGGGGCACCTGCCATCACCCTCCCAGGGAGGAGCAGGAAGAAAACCTACCCTACCCCGCTCTATCATTCCTCCACGACACATCCAACAAACACCCCTAGTACAGGACTCAAGGTGGTTTATTTCTGGGGTGCCTATAGGTCACATTCACAATCGAGGAACCACAAGTTCCAGGAGGCTGTGACCCCAAACAACTGTGTAGAAAAGCTGGTGCTGCCTCCTCCACATCCTACGTCACCCCTGAACCATCCAGGAGGCAAGGTTGGGAGCAGGTGGGGAAAGAATCCCAGCGGGGACCGTCCTCGACCACACCAGCACGAAGAGACTCAAAATAGCCCTGGAAGGGACCTCCATCCTCTATCCTGACCATGAAGAACTGACAGTCCAAGGGGCTCAGCCTGGAGGACTGGGAATCTGGCAGGAGGCAGGGCTGGTGGCTTTGGAGCAGACCCAGGGATGGGGGGCAGCGACGCTCCTCCAAAGGGGAATGCACTTCTGTCGCCATCTTGCCGGGTCCAGGAGGGAAGAAGACCAGAAGGGAGAAAGAACATCTCATTGCCGTTCTCCCAGCAGTTAGCTCACTTCCCCTTTCGAGCCGCCTCCCACTCCGCCAGCTCCCCGGTCCCTGCCTCCCACTCCACCAGCTCCACTTTGCAAAGAACAGGTTCCTGAAGACAGCGGTGTCTGCGCCAGCCCGCCCGCCAGGCAGGACGCGCGCAGCCGCCGGGAACACAGCTGCCGCACGTAGCTTAACGGCGGCGGGGACATCCGCAGTCCCAGCCGGCCTCGCTCACGTGTTCTTCCTCCTGCCGGGCCAGGGTCGCTGGCCTGGGCGCCTGCCAGCCCCCGCTCCACGCTTGGCGGCTGAGGTGCGCACGTGCACACGTGGGTGGCAGTAACGGGGTGTGCTTCCCGCCCCCACAACGTTGGGCGCACGACTGCGAAATGTTTGGCCCTCTCCGCCAATCTTAATCCATTTACAGTGAGGGGACCTTAGTTAACTTTGGGGACACAGATAGGGGAGGCTGAGAGCAGGCCCACCAAGGACCCTCAATTGCAGCCACCTGGCTGCTCCAGGTTACCTGCCTGGAGGGCAGGCAGCAGGGAGGAGGATACAGTGGGTAAGGATGAAGCAGGAAGGCAGGTGTGGGCGGTGGTGAGGTGAACTTGACCCTCTGATTCAGGCGGGGCGGGTGAGCAGAGGCCATACAGGCCACCTAGGTGCCATGTAGGCTCAGAAACATGGAGGCTGCGATGTCCTGCAAACCTGCTCTGGCACCTGAACGGTCTGCAGATAGTCCCAGGAGGTGGTACCCCAGGGGACAGAGGTCCTGTGTCTGACGTCCTGAGGCTAAGAGGTTTGGATTGGGGAGGGGTCTGGATAAGAAACCTCCCAGCAGCTGACAGATGTGTGGAGAAGAGTCCCACACATGCCTAGGGAGGGAAAAGGGCTTCCTGAAGGTGGCCCCTAAGCAAGTCCCACACCTAGAAAGGTTGCAGAATTGATAGTGAGGTCCCACTTGGCCAGCTTAGAGCGTATCACTTGCCTCCACTGTGGTCTCACATATCAACTGGTCCTTGGACACCCTCACACCCAGCCCACCTTGACCTACAAACCCTGGGTTCCCACACTTCCTTAGGACTTACTTTTACAATCATATTTCACTGTTCCCACCAAACTGTAGGCAGGCACATTTCTGGGTGGTCTCAATCTCTCACCTTCCACATGCCACCTGCCTGCCAATCCCATCACCTTCAGAGTAAATTCAGACCCTGCTTCCTGCTCCTTGTGGCTTCCACCCCTAGCCTGAGCCTAGACTAGTGCAGTAGCCCAGCAGCTCTGAGCTGCTTCCCAGAGCTGCTCTCCATGCCTTATCTGCTCAGCATCACCCCTCAGTGATCTCCCTCTCCCACTTCGTTGGCAGCCCCTACACCAAGCTGTGAGCAGGGGAAAGGCACTGAGTTCCCAAGCAGCATGTTAGCATGCAGCAGGTGATTAATCCATACCGGTGCAAAGGATCCACAGGCCTAGAGGATTGGACTCTGGCAATGGCAGGTAACACCTGCTCAAGGTGCAGGGGTGTGCTCTGCCCCTGCACAACCCCCATGTGGGAGCAGTTCCATCCCCATTTAAGGGGCAGCAAGGCCACAAAAGCCCAGTGTCCCTCCTCCCTCTTGGAGGGCCAGACAGCCACTCCCCACCCAGTCTGGCACTTCTCAGGGGCTCTTGGAAGGACACATCCCATGAGGCTCCCCAGGAGTATGGATGTTCTACAAACAGCCCTAGCCCAGCGGCCCACCCAGCCCGCCCTCCCCTGGGAGGCCAGCTCCTCAGCTGGTATCATTTACCAACTCCCAGCCCATCTGGGCCATTTTTATCAGAGAGCCTGGGTGGGAGCTAGTTATCACCTGGCAATGTTGAGTGATTAGCCCTTTCCACTAGCTGTGGAGCTTGCAGCTAGTCCTAGCTGCTGTCCCTGGGGAGGGGGCTGGATGGGAGGAGCAGTCCCTGGGCACCCCACTGGGCCTGACACTGCCTGCTACAACAGAGATCCAACTTTTCACACCTCAGTTTCCATCTGCCCGCTCCTGTCTCCTCTCCACCACCCTGCCAAATCCTTGGGCTGCTCAATCTGAAAACTAGTCTTCTCTGCACCCTTAACTCCAAACTCCCCCCTGCCAACCCAGCCAGTAGATTGGCTCACTTTCCTCCTCCCAGACCATGCTCCCATCCTAATCCCTTCTCCATAAACGGATTTTCCTCTGCAATGTCAAACTAGCTTCCCCAGCCGCCTGCCCTCCCTCCCCCACCCCGCCCTTTGCTTTTGGGATTAAACCCAGCCTTCACCTTACCTGCTCTGCCCCTCCCCTCCTCAAAACCAGCACCCCAGAGCTAGCCTGCTGTTCCCTCTTCAGGGACACACCATTCCCTGCCCCGCCCAATCCGGCTGGCCTTAGCCAGCTGAGACCTCTTCCTCCAGGAACCCTCATCCTCCACCACCACCAGCAATGCTGCCATTGCCCACCCTTCCTTCCCTGATTGAAGAGTCCTGGGGGCAAGAGCTGGTTACATCCCCACAGGACCCTGCATAGTCCTGGCACCCAGCAGGCACACATTAATGTTTTTCCTATTTAAGTAAACTGGATATTTAGGAACAATGCAACTGGGGGTGATCCTGAGGCCCACCAGGGGGTATTGGGCGATGTCCCAGGACAGTGTGGCTATTATGACTGGAGGAGCTATTGGTATGGAATGGGTGGAAGCCAGCAATGCTACTCACCCTGCAGTGCTCAGGACACATCACCCCAGTGAATAACCTGGCCCCAAAGGGTCAGTCTCAGTACCAAAGGGAGAGACCCTGGATCAGCAGACCCTTTCCAGGTCTGAGCTCCATTTCTGGAGAGGGTGTCCCAGACACCCAAGAGCACATGGCTGACTGCGCTGGGCACTGGGAGCCCTGGAGAAGCCTAACACGGATGGAGGAGGTTGGGAGAGCAGAGTCGACAGCCAGCCTCTCCTCCCGCCCCCGCCCCATCGCTGGCTCTCTCCTGGTATCCAGGGCAACGGCGTCAACATCTCCCACAGCCTCCGAAGTCCTTCCCCGCCCCACACAGGGGCACTCTGCAGGCCTAGAGGCTGTAGGCCAGGCTCTACCCTCTTCTGGAAAAAAAAAAAAAAATCTTATGGCCCCTCCTGGCGTCTTCACTACAAACCCAGTGAGGGCAGAGATAACCAGGTACAAGGCTGCATATCATCCGGTCTCCTGCTCTGGCTCCTGGCTTTGCTCATTTGTGCAAGGGAGCTGAGCCCAACTGCAATTCCCTTAACACAGAGGAGAAAGTCCCCAGGCAGGAGTGGGTGCAGACAGAACTATCTCCCTATCAGTGGTCTTAGGGGATGGCTCTACAGGTAGCTGTTTCAGGATCTGCATTCAAGGTGAATCCAGCTGGTCTTGGAACCACTGGATAAGCATGGCCTTTCTGACCCCCTTCCTGCCAGCCACCCTTCCCTTCCCTGAGGGCTAGAGAAACCAAACCAAAGCCCCTTCCATTGAAAGAGACTCTTTAATCACAAGGTGGTCCTGGGGAACCGTGAATAGGAGTCATCTAGCACGTAAGTGTCCCCAAACCCTCCAGAAATGAAATCAAAGGTGCCAGGGTCCAAGACTCTCTCCCAGTCCCCAAGCAGTTATTATTTTAAAGGGGCTTTGGCACAGGATGCCATACATAGCCTTCCATCGGGTGAGGACAGGGATAAAGGATCCATGAAGGGATGGTACCCGGTTCTCCCCCACTGCACAAGATACTGCCTCAGATCACCTACACCCAACCCTAGACACCATGACTTCACCCACGGGGCTTCGGTTTCACATCACACAGGGATGATGCTGCTGACATCTCAGGGTGCAGTCAGGATCCCTTTCTTCCCCATTGGTTTAGGGGCAGCTGTAGCCATCACCTAAGATGCTATGGAAGCATCCCTATCCCTAGTGGTATGCCTCCCCCTTACCCAAACCAAGAAGTCAGCCAGAGTTGGGAAGAAACCAAACCAGTACACCAGGCATAGAAAGGGTGCTCTGACCATCAGCAAAACAGTAATTCTCTGGGTAGGCAAGCGGGGGAGAAGTGAATGAGATAGTTGGGGTCCCTTCTCTCAACAGGATTGCATTTCACCTGCTTGCTGTTCCAACTGGCAAACGCACCCTGGGCATTCCTGGACCCCAGCCCAACAAGCCAGGGCACTCCTGGACCCCAGCCCACCAACCAGTCACCCCAAACATCTCTCCTGCAGAGCTTTGCGTATAACTCCCAGAAATCTCCCAGCAGAGGGTGGGGCCTCCTGGTATGAAATGAAGACCCCCCAACCCAACCATGTCCAGCTTGGTGTCTAAGATGGCAGAGCCTCCAGACTCCAAGGGAGGAGGGCAAAGGCTGGTGGGAAAAACAGAAAACATACTCTTTATGTCCATCACGCCGCTGCTCTCCTGCACTCCAACTTCTGGAATCTAAGTGTGGCTCCTCACACCCCAAGGATGGTGCCTTCTACCTTCCACCTGGGGGTGGAGGCCCTGCAGTCTGCCTGGGGTTGCGGGCAACCATCTCCACTTCCCAACACTCTCTTCCAGTGTAACCCCCATGGCTCAGAGTAATCCACACAAAGACCCTTAGAGGCAGTCTTGTATCATTTGTAAAATAAGAAACTAGGCCCGACGCACGTAAATCACCTGCTAGACGATGGCAGAACCAGGATCCCCCATTCAGCGCAGCCGCAAAGCCTGAGCCCAGATGGCCATCCCTACTTTCCTACGTTTCTCGGTTAGGTGTGAATTCTCCAATATCCGGACCCACGCCGGTGCAGCCTCAAGTCATCTGCACCGAGCTCTGAACACCCCGACTTTACCCCTGGGGCCCCAGTTTCTCATTACCACACAGGGACGATAATGCTGGGATCCCAAGGTGGGCACAAGGCTCACATTTTCCCATTCCAAACTTCAAGCCTAGAGGGAGGAACCCATGGGGAGAAGCAGAGTAAACTGACAAACAAGAGCAGAGGAGCTGTCAGAATGAAACCATAACCAGTGCACACCTCGCTTGGGGTTCCCTTAGCCCCTGGATTAGAAAGGACATTGGTGTGGCTGGATCGCTCCCTACTTATACCTTGCGCACCTTTCGTGAACCCCTCACCAGGTATATAGATCCTCAAACACGCTGGTAAAACTTGTTGGGAACCCACTCTCCAAAACTCCACTCAAGACCCGGCCGCACCCTCCACTTCGTTAAAATACACGGAACGGAAAGAAACGTGCCGAGCACCCCCACCCCATCCTGACCGGGTGCCTCACCTCCCTCCTTGACGATTTCGCGCGGATCTTTCTCCCTCTTCAGATAAAGAAACTGAGGCTGGGGGAGGAACAGGTCCGAGAAGAACCTCAGAACTGAATACTAAGACCACCATGCCCACCAATCAGACTAGCAAGCAAAAGCGAGGTCCAGGGGGTGGTGTGCTGGGAGAGCGATCGCGAGCGCTGATCCCACAGCGCCAGGCTGGGCCCAGACCCCTGTCGCCTCAGCCGCCCTCCGCGCGCTGCCCGACCGCGTGGCCGCCACGCCCCCCGAACGCGCCCCACCCACCGAGGCTCCGCCCTCCCGGCCGGCGCGGCGGCGGCGGCGGCGGCGGCCCGGACGCGCCCCCCTCCCCGCCTCCCACGCGCCACGCAGTTTCGGGGTCCTAGCGGGGGAGGGGGCTCAGGAGATGGTCCCAGCCCCGTTCAGGGTCACTGCGGGGCTCACCTGTGTGCGTCCGCAGGTGCGACTTTAGGTGCGAAGACTTGTAGTAGGCTTTTGCGCAGCCTGGGAAGGGACAGCGGTGGCTCTTGGCGGCGGCAGCGGGCGCGGCGCCGGGGGCGCGGCCCGAGGACGGAGACGAGGCGGCCGAGGAAGAGGAGGCAGGCGAGACGCCCCCCGGGACGGCTACAGGCCCGCCACGCAGGTCGGCCAGGATGCTGGCGGCCAGCAGGTGGGGCGCAGCGGCGCCCCCAGGGCCCGGACCGGGGGCAGCGGGTGGCGGCGGCGGTGGCGGCGGCGCCCCTAGGGTCCCGGGCGGGGCGGCCTCACGGCGCGCCGCACGCACATCCAGGCCGGCGTTGGGGCCCGCGCCCTCGGGGCTGGGCCGCCCGCGATGCACCACGGCGCCCGAGGAGATGGCCATGAGCACGTCGGCAGCGAAGTAATCCACGCACGCCACGGCTGCCGACATGCCGGGCAAGGACGCGCGGCTTGGACTGGGCGGGCGGAGCGGAGGTGGCGGGAGTGGCACCCGTCCGGCCGGCAGCGACTGCTCGAGTGCGGGAGGCGGAGGAGGAGGAGGCTGGGCGCGCGCCGCCGCCGCCGCCGCCGCCCGCGCTCGGCCCGCCCCGCCCCGCCTGACGCGCCCTGACGCACCGGAGCCCGCGGGGGTGGCCGAGGCCCGCCCCTCCCGAAGGACGCCCCCTCGGGGCGCCGCGGCCACGCCCCCCTCCCGGCGCGCCCTCCACCACCCTGGGAGCCGCGCGCGACCGCCGAAGGCGGGGCTGGAACCCAAAGAGCCCGCCCCCAGGCGCGCCCACTCCTGCGATTGAATGCGCCCTATACGTTAGGACGGGAGCCCGGGGAGTCCCACCTTGTCCTAGCGCGCACCCCCTCCCCACGCCTGCGGCGCAAGGATGGCAAGTCCCGCCTGCTCTCCGGAACGCCCCTCTTCACCGAGCGCTTCCCGCCCCTACCTAGGACGCTCCTCCTCCCAGGGCGCACCACGCCTTCTCCCAGGGCGCACCACGCCTTCTCCCGGCGCGCGCCCCTCCTCGCAGGCGCGCCCACCCAACGCCGGGGCGCGCCGCTGGCGAGAGCCCGCCCCCTACCCGGACGCTTCCTCCTTAGCCCCGGGCGCGCCCCCGTTTTTGATGGGGGGGAGGGCTGAAATCCGCACGTGGCCGGGGTGGGGGTGCGGAAGCGGCCAGCCCCGCCCCCAGGCCACGTGCGCTACCCTTCCTCCCCTTTCTGCTTTGGGCCTTGCTTTGACCGGCCACTTCTGTGCGGTCGTCTTCTCAGTTCCCGACGCCTCGTATGCCTTCCCGGCCTAAGAACCGCAGTGGAACCCGTGATGTTGGGGAGTCCTTCCCCTCCCAGCCACCTTGCTTGCGTTTCCCTTTCCGCGCCCGGTTCCGGAGTTACTCGTCCGTGGCTCACGGGTCTGGGGATGGCAGGGCTAGATAGAAGAAGCGAGCAAGGCCGCAAAGGAAGGACCCGGCTCGGGGCACTTCGACAAGCCAGAGAATCCCTGCCTGCCTTGCTTCCCGGTTCCAGGCTAGCACTCTTAGGCCTGGGACAGGAAATCTAAGACTAGCTGATGGGGCTTTCGAGCTGTGAAATAACGGCGAGAACGCCGGGAACACACTTGGCCGGGATCCCCCAAACCTGCAGGCCCAAGGCGGCGGGCGCGCGGAAGTGGTTCCCGCCCCTTCCTAGCTCCCGCCGGGCGGTGGAGACAGTGTAGTGGCCGGCACTGCCTCCAGAAGGCGGGGCGCTCAGACCCTCAGCCGCCTGAAGCAAAGGGTGAACAGCTGCCTTGGCACCACCCTGGTTTTGTGTGTCCATTTTCCCCCACTGTATATCCCTAGCTAGATGATTTGGCCCAGCTCGGCTCCTGTGTCCTAGCCTGGCCACTGTCTTCTGAGTTCCCGTTCTCTAGGCCCCACCACACTTTGTGGTGCCACCTTGTTTCTCTTAGGTGGAGGCTCTGGGGACCCCAGCAATGCCTAGTGAACAGAAGAGGGGAGGAGACGGAAGTTCGCCCTGCACCGGAGGCTTTAGGCTCCTTTCTACAGATCTCTCTCAGATTTGGGCTCCAAAAGCTAGGGACCATGTGGCCCTCAATGGGTGTTGGTGGGCATCATTCCTGCCCTGGCTGGGTCTCCTCCTGTCTTTGAAGGTCGGCAGTTGGACCACCTGGGCTACCAAGAGGAATTTCAGTGCTCCCCAGGTCCATGTACTCCAGGAGGGGCTCCCAGTCTTTGAAGGCAGGTCGAGGGCGGGGGTGGGGGGGGAAGCCACAGAGAAAAGTGGAGATGCCCCAGAACAGGCAAAAGGAATGACCCATACAAGGCAGTGTCACCCAATGTGCCCCAGTAAGACGTGCTGTAGGCCTCAGGTGCCTGGCACTTCCAGTCCTCATCAGGATTTAAGTCGGTGGTGTGGTGTTACCTGTAGCTTGACCACTCCACAGGCAGCAGCCCTCATGTGGTGTTCTGTTCATGCCCCAAGCTCCAGCAGCACACTGGACAGGTATAACCCTGGAGCCTGTGTTTGTTTGCTGTCCCTGTTGTGACCCTGCCATTCCATCTTACAGATGGAGAAATCAAGGCTGGAGTACCAGTAGCAGCTTGCCTGTACTCAGATCCACTTACTTGAGGGTTCTGTGCTCACAGTTCAGTGCTGAGGGTGTTTAGAAAATACCAAGCTTGCACTCAGGCTCAGAATGGCATATGGCCATGAGCCTCAGCAACTTATCCATCAGTAAGTGAGGGTCACCTCTACCTTTCCTTGACAGTATTCATGGGGTTCATGGACAGCCCTTGCCAGCCTCATGGGGCAGTCTTGACAGCCAGAGGGCCCACAGAGCAGAGTTCTGCAAGGGACAGGGAGCAACCAGGTGTCCCTAGGGGGTCACTGTCAGGGCCATCCCCCTGAGGATCTAGAGTGATCTCCTGGGGTACAGGTGAGGGCAGAGGTTACATAAACTGGGGTATGCCCACAAGTACCCTGCAGTCCATGCACCTAGGGGAAAGGTGCCCCAAACTGGCTCCTGAGTACCCCACCTCCATCAGGTGGTAAAGGTCAACAATGAGTGTGGCATGGCAGGAGGGGGTCTTAGGTACCCAACATGAGAAGAGCGCGTGGTGTCTGGGTGTTCTTTCACAGACCCATTACCTTAGTCTAATCATGAGCAAAAAACTCATGTTAGGGGGAGCATTAAAAATGCCTGGCTTGTGCTGGTGAAGTGGCTCAAGTGGTAAAGCCTGCCTAGCAAGCATAAAGCCCTAAGTTCAAACCCCAGTACTGCAAAAAAAAAAGACCCAACCAAAAAAAAAAAATGCCTGGCTGTCCAGCAAGATGATCAAGGTCAACAGAGACCAGGACAGTCTCTGAAGCTTCAAAAAGTCAGATTTTAACATACTTGAGCAGTCATGAGGACCACGTGTTGTGTGGGATCCTGGATGGGGACCTGGGACAGTAAAGGACATTGCTGTGGCTGTCCAGGGGAAACCTACCAAACTGGAATCACCAGAAGGTGGGTTCACAGCCCAGTAGGCTGCTTTCTACCAGGGCAGGCTGGTGAAGGGCCCTGGGACTCCGTCCTACCTGTACACAGCTTCTCTGTAAATCTCAATTTATGCGGTTAAAAAAATTCAAACAAGCATAAAAAGTGAGCGTGTGGAGAGTTCATTTAATAACCGAGTTACATCAGCAACACAAGTCCGTAGCACACATGAGACTTGACAAGTTTTTTCCTTGTTTCAGTCCAGCTTATCAAAGTGTTAACTATATGGTGCCCTTAGACCCTCCTACAAAGGAAGCCCACCTGAGGCTGTGGACTGCTGCAGTGAAATGGAACAAAAAAAGGACAAACTTAGGTTGTCAGTTACTAAGGGATGGTAACTATGTAACTGTTGGACAGAACAGCCCATCTGGATGGACAGACTCTGGCTTCAGAGCACATAGGGAAACAGACCCCAGATCACATGTCCACACCAAGCATTTCATTCACTATTTTCACCTGTCTCCATGGGCGGTTCATGCACTAGCCACTATGACCTGGTGCTGCAGAACAGAAGCAGGCAGTGGGAGGAGATGGAGCAGCTGCTCAGAGGGCACTCCAGGCAGCGAGCACTCAAGCTATTGGTCCTACCTTTGAACACTTGACCTTTCAGTGGATATTCTGTCTGCCTCGGTGGTAGCACATTTACACTGAGACACATTTTGTATTATATTACTGCTAACCTACCCCCATGACCCAGCTACATGTATTTCTACATTAGCCTGGCTAAATTATTCATCCTGGTCTGGACACTGCACACGCACAGGATGATGAGCAGCTGAGAGATCACGGTGGGCCAGAGGACACGGCTTAGTCACCCTGGGGAAGTGGTGGGCAAGTGGCTGTCCTCCTCCCTTTGGGGATTGTGCTCCCAGCCCAAGAATGCAACAAGATGACACTATAGCTCACTAGCCTAGGAGTCTTTCTGGGGGCCCTTCGGGGCTCACACCCCCAAGCTAGGAGCTCCCAGGGAGGGAGGAGGGGCCAGCACCTCCTTGATAGGCCTAATGCCCCAGCTCCCCATGCTGACTGCAGATCCAGGACCCCTGGAGAGGAGCAGCTCAGAGGCTCCATCCTGGCTGCCAGTCAGTCACCAAAAGGATTTTATATAGGGATCATGCCTTTGGACCACCTCTGGCAGGCCCATGGCCTCTCTTCTCCCCCTGGTCTTTTCCACTCTACTATGATCAAGTAGGCAGAGACTTCACCTTGCCCTGTGGGATAGTGAGATTCTTCAGGACACCCTGCTAAGAGCACTTAACTTCACAGCACACCTGCTGGGCTACTCCCCAAGCCACTGGCAGGGTCTTACCTTTGACAGCCCCCCCCAACCCTTAGACTCATCAGGCTCCAGTTTGCATTTGCCAAGAGGGTTGCTGAGGAGAGCAAAATGGTCTGTAGTCAGGTGCAACAGAGCTTGTAGACTGTCACAGTTTTGCTTTCAACAATCTCTGCTGCCATGGCAGGGTGACAGAGTACTGCAGAGCCCGGCCAGGGTCTATGAGCATCTTTCTTGCAAGCAATAGGGACAGTGACCCCAGAAGCCTAGAGTTGCTGTGAAGATCAATTTGGCTGAGGCAGCATCCAAAACAGGAAGGAGGTGGACCAGAGATGAGGTGGACCTGGCTGATTCAGTCAATGGACTGTCCTGAGCCCTGGCCTCCAGCTGGTCCAGATGCACAGATGACCAGCACCTCCCTGGGAGCACAAACACCTTCAGCCAGATGCTTATCACCCCAAGCAGAGGGCCTGGGGATGGAAGAGGTGGCACTGCCCCAGAGGTCCCATCTTGGGTGAGAAGGCACTGTGGGGGAGTATGGTTAGAACCTGGAGCAGCCATGTCCCCATCCTCTTCCTGAATCTCTGCTGGGCCCTACTGCATCTCACAGAGACTAGAGAAGCCAGCCCCATTGGGGCTGGGTTCAAGAGAGGATGCAGTGATCTGGAGACACTGGAGTGAGGGGACAAGGAATGAAGTGGCCCCCAGGTGATGGATGCATGTGGAATGCCAGCCAGGGACACTCAGGACCCTATGGGAGAAGCTGGCAAGGCCACAGCCACAGGGCCCTGGCCAAGGCCCAGACTGCCACAAAACACTTCAGCCAAAGGCCGAAAAGAACCAGGTCTGGAACTATACAAAATGGAGAACTGGAAGTTGACCCTTCTCCATGGCAGGCAGGCAGGCAGGCAGGTAGGCAGGCAGCCTGGCTATGCAAGTGTGAAGGAAGGGGCTTTCTGGAACACACCATTGACCCAGGGGGTGGGATACTGCAGACAGGCAGGTACAGCCTGTGGTTACCAGAGCCTGTCCTTACTCTGTGCAGTGTTCGAGATGGGCAGAGAGAAACAGCAGGGAAGGTTGTGCACCTGTGCTGCACATGCTGTGGGCACTACAGAAGGAAGGCTCTTAGTTTATACCACAGGTGGAAAAGAAGGGCATGATGCACAGTGAATGGCCACAGCCAGTGAGGAGTCAGAGAGGCTCCTCTGTTTCACAGTGTCTAGTGGAACAAGCATTACAGGGATTATATCCAAGTCATCAACTATTTGAGTTTTATCACAACTTTATTTTTTTGGTGGTACTGGGGTTTGAACTCAGGGACTCATGTTTGCTAGGCAGGTGCTGTACCATTTGAGTCACTCCATACCTCTGCTTTTGTGTTGGATTTTTTTAGAGATAAGGTCTTGAGAACTATTTGCCCATGCTAGCTTCAAACCTCCTCCTGATTTCTGCCTCCCAAGTAGCTAGGATTACATATGTGAGCCACCAGCACCTAGGCTACAATTTATAAATCTAAGCAATCTCTATGTTTTCAAAAAAAAAAAAAAAAGTTAAGGTAGGGGAACCAGAAAAAAGAAATGTGCCCAAGAACAATAAGGGGAAGATGGGTGTTGCAATGCACACATATAATTCCAGCACTGGAGAGGTGAAGGCAGGAGGACTGAAAGTTTGAGGTCAGCCTGGGATACATAGCAAGACCCTATCTCAAAAAAACACCAGCCAGGTGCTGGTGCCTCTCACTGTAATCCTAGCTACTGAGGAGACAAGAGATGAGCATTTAGGTTTGAGGCCAGCCGGGGCAAAAAAAAAAAAAAAAAAGCAAGACCCTATCTCAAAAATATCCAACACCAAAAAAAAAAAAAACAAAAACAAAAACAAAAAAAACAGGCGGGCAGAGTGGCTCAAATGGTAGAACACCTGCCTAGGAAGCATGAAGCCCTGAATTCAAACCTCAATACCACAAAAAACCAGTAATAATGTAACAACAGTGAGGGGAGATTGGGCCTCTGGACATTAAGTAGGTGGGCAAGGGGGTTCCTGCAACCTGGGTTAACAGTCTAGAAAGAGATTTGATCTGGCATGCAATAAAGATAGTACTTAAGTGGGAGAAAGAATAACTTTTTGGGGGGAAGTTGAGTCAGGGCAAATGATTTGGGTAAAAACAAGCAAAGCAAAACAAAAAAACTAAAACTTTGCTCTTTACCAGTACTACTTTCTTAAATTAAGACAAAAAATTTAGGGATATAGAAAGTAAGTGTTTTATAATCTTGAAGGTATTTCTGAGCATGACACAAAACACAAAAGCCCTAAGTATGAGTTAATAATGACTTTAAATGCCTGGGTTAAAAAAAGACCTCAAAGTCAAAGACAAATGAAAGAGTGGGGGATGATACATTTAACTGACAAAAGGTTAATTTCCTTAAAATGTAAAGTGCTCCCACTAAATTATAAAAACCAACAATTCAACAGAAAACTGGGGAAAGAACATGTTTACAGTATGATTTTTTCCAATTTCAAAATGATTTCTTATTAGTGGACGAAATAATTAACACAAACTAAATCTGACAGAAGCATTCAAAAAGTTGATTATAGGGGCTGGCGGAGTGGCTCCAGTGGTTAAGAGAACCTATCTAGCAAGCTTGAGGACTTGAGTTCAAACCCCATTGTCACTAAATAAATAAGTAAAATAAAAAGTTGACTATATTTACAGGAAACTCAAATAGAGCTACAGGAAATACTACTTTTATTCCTATTAAGTCTATCTGTGAAGTCAAGTGTTGGCAATGGCGGACACTAGCTCTCACTGTTGGAGGCAGTGAATTGATACAACATGGTTCCCAAACAGAGAGCCATAGGAAGCCCTTTGACTGAACACTTCTGCACTAAGGAATTTTGCCTACAGAAATATCCCTACTAGGATAAAACAAGAATAAGTAGCCTTGGGCTGGGGGTGGGGCTCAGTGGTACAGCAAGTGCTGGGCATGCTTGAGGCCCTGGATCCTACCTCCAGCACCACAAATACATAAATAAAAATAAGAAAAAGGAAAAACAACAGTCAGTCTAGCATTGCTTCTTATTTTAAAAGACTGCAAAGAACCTACATTTCTACCAATAGGAAGGAGGGCAAATGTGTTAGCGTTAAAATCCTGTGCAGCCTTTAACATGAAATGATTCCAATCTGTGTCCCAAATACGCAGAACACTGCAAGCTTTTCTAAAAGAGCCTCCAGCAAAATGACCGGCCTTTTGTAGAAACACAAGTAGATGAACCTGCATGGCCTTTCTTTGTCGGCACAGATGAAACTGGTTTATCCTCCCCAAAGGAGTACGGGGCGGGGGGGGGGGGGGGGGTTGGTTAAGTTTTCATCAAACATTCTCTCAGGCTCTGCATTTTCTTATTTCTTTTGGTGGGACTGAGGTTTGAACTCAGGGCTTCATGACCGCAAAGCAGGCGCTCTACCACTAGAGCCGAACCTCCAGCTTATTTTGTTCTGGTTATTTTGGAGACAAGGTCTCGCAAAATACTTGCCTGGGCTGGCCTCGAACCACGATCCTCCCGACCTTAGCCTTTTAAGTAGCTAGGATTACAGGCATAAACCACCAGGGCCCAGCTCCCTGCATTTTTTAAAGCCGTGTACCTGAAAACGTTTTTGCTCCATTGTAAGCGGCTGCTCTGACCTCGTTGCACCCGAACACCACGGATTCCCAGCTCTTGGGGAGCTTAGGTTCTGATGGTGTCAAGACCAACAATGCTCTGGGACAAGAGTAACACCCAGGGGTCAGTGGGAACAGTGGGTTAGAATGGGGAGGAGCTGTCAGGCAACACGGTAGCCGGCGACGGGAAAGAAGACGCGTCAGAAAACTCCGGCGCACAGCACTGATCCGGACGCAATGAGGGCACGTCAACCTGTGCAAAGCCTGAAGAGAAACGGAGCCAGGAACTCGGTGCAATTTCCTTCCAAGCGCTCCTACAAAGTTGACTCTGAATTAGCAGCTCGGAGGCTGGGCTCCAACACCCTTTGGATTGGCGCACCTTCGTTATACACGCTGGAACGCAGGACAAACGTTCCGGTGGCCGGGGACAGGCACTGGAGCTTAAGGATTCAACGGAGACCAAATCGCCACTACTTAACATAGGCCGCCTATTCCGCGGTGCTACTGCCGCCGCCGCCACCTCCACTTCCGGGCGCTCGCGACGTCACTTCCGCTTCCTTCCTCACTCTCGCCTCGGTCTCGCACGTGACGTAACACCCGCGCTTTCCTGCCTTGGCTGTAGTGCTTCCCATTCGGTTTCTAGGGGGGATACTGGGGTTTGAATTCAGGGCCTCTCACTTGCTAAGCAGGTGCTTTTACCACCTAAGCCATTCCGCCAGCCCAGTACTTCCCATTCATAAAGGGGCTGCTGACTAGGACTAGGCGGAGGTTAGGGTGTTGGCTAGGCCATTCCGTGGTCGTTCAGACAGTAGCTGATTCCCTGTCCGACCCTTCCTCGCTTTAGGTCTTCTGTCCTAGAGATCAGAGATTCCTGTAGAGACTGGGGAGGGTCTTGAAGACCAGATCGTGACCTACCCACAAGGGTACACTGTGGAGCCGGGCAAGTGGGAGAGAACTGGATCTTAGCCGGGGCACTCTCTACCATCCCAGACCCAAGGTGGCTCCCTTTCCCTGAGGAGGTGGTCTAGTCAGAGTTCTGGAGTCCATCAAGCCTAGCATCTCGGTACAGGATGGCCCCTTACTGCCTTGTGTATAGAGGGGGCCAGAGAACTGGTAGGAAGGTAAGAGGGGATCAGGTCCGGGACCTGACTTAACGGAGGCTCCCCGCCCAGGGCTGCCCTGTAGTTAGCCAGCTACCCCCATTCTCCCACCCCAGGTAAGTGAGCAAGCAAGCAAGGAAGGGAAGACAGCCCCACCCCTCTCAAGAGGGATGAGAGGTCTGTATCTGCATGTATATAACCCCTAAGAGGTGCATACTGAAGTCAGGAATTCTGCTGGCCAAGACCAGGAAAAGAACTTGAGAGCCCGAAAACTGTGAAAGAGGGGAGAAACCCTGAAATCTTAAATCTTTAATTTTTGTTTTCTTGCCTTTTTGCTTCCAAAACGAGGAGCATGTAGCTCTGCGCCTGTACATTGGTCCATGGCCCCTGGGCCGGGGCGGGGTCCTGGCCACCTGCTCGCTGCCTGGGGGACCCAGGTCGCCCAGGAGGCCACATGCAGCTCCCAGGCCACAGTGCGACAAGTCTGGCGGCCAGCTTATTGCTGAAATCCTGGTGCAGTGGGTGTGCTGACCGCTGCTAGGCACACTGGCTGGGCAGCTCCTGGGAAATGAAGCGGCGTAGGCGCTCCAGGTACTGGCTGTAAAGCTCGATGTCGTTGTGCCCAGCGCCCTCCACCCACAGCGGTTCCACGGCCTTGGGACAACGCTCGTACAGCGCCAGCCCATGTGAGAAGTCAATCACCTCGTCCTCCGTGCCATGGATGATAAGCACAGGGGATGTGATCTTGGACACTTTCTCGATGCTGTGGGTGGGAAGGGAAGGGATGATCAGGCCTGGAACCCATCCCCAGGCTGCCCCACCCCCAGCACCCTGGCACTCACTTGGGGAATGCATCAAAGCAGTAGGTCTTCTTGGTATCAGGGAAGGCAACACGCATGCCCGAGGTGAGTGGTGAGTGCAGAACCACTGCAGCACACTCGTAACGCGAAGCCAGGTCTACCGTGGGCACTGTGCCAATGCTCTGCCCATACAGGATGATGCTATCCGGACTGATGCCATACCTGGTGGGGGTGAGATTAGCAGGCTCAAGGCAGTCTCACGTACAGGCTTAGACGCGGGCTACACACACACACCCCCAACATACACAGGGTGCAGGCACAGCGCTGCCTAGGCAGCCCCAGGTCCCTGGCTCTTCCAACTGCATCTATATGGACCACAGTAGATGTTGTAGGAGTGCATCTGGTGAGGGATCTGGGGCACAGGGCACCTACAGCCTCTTCTGCTACCCTGCTTCCCCCTGTTCTCCACACCTGAATCTGCTTCAGGTCTCACCTATTCCAGCTGTCCTGATTAGAAAGATCTTCCTAGTGGCACCCTCCCTGGTCCCTTAGGGCATACAGAATTTAGGCAACTAAGTCTGGGATGTTTCAAGCCCAGTTTGAGGCACCTCTCAGTCCCTCATGCCCAATTTCAGGCACCTCTGAGTCCCCCCTCATGCCCAGTTTCAGGCTGCGTATACACCAACAGTAAGGCCACAGCATGGATGCCACCTCCTCCCCTGCATAATGGTGCACAGGTTCTGAGAACCTCTGCCACCCCCAGATGCCATCTTGGTGCTTGGCCCCTCCCTACCCCCAGCGGTTGACTAGTCAGCCTGTCCTGGCTTGGCTGACCCAGCACCACCTCTTGAGCTTATTCCCAACCTACAGGGAGATGACCACATTGCCCACGCAGCTCTCCTCCCACTGCTACTGAGCCTGATTTCTAATGGCCACCTCTCCTGGTAGGCAAAGGCTGGGCAGGTCTGTTTTTTCTGGACCTTGTTTGACTCAACTTCCTTATCCACCCACGGGCCCGGTCCTGGTCCCTTGACCCAGACCCACCAGCTCTGCCTCAGCCTCTCTGGCCTGCTTCTTGGCCACTGTAGCCACCACTGTGCTGAACAGCAGGAATTCCAACTGCCATTGCTCTTCCTCCCCAGGCTTCCAGGGCCTCTGGCCAGGGCTTTGCCTAGTCTCCCACCTCCCACCTTCAGCTATGGAGCTGAAGGGATAGGTCTCTGGAAGACAGTGCTGGAGGCAGAACATATGGACAGACCTCAGAGTCTATATTCAACAGCAAGATGTAATTCTGCTAGGCCCCAGGCAGTGGGAACAGGAGGGGCTGAGAAAGCTGAGAGCATGCACGTATGTACCACAGAGGAAAGAACTCAAATGGGTCCCCAGTGCCAGGGTTGTGCCAGGGGAACCAGCTCCCAGACCTGCACTGGGAGTGCCTGGCACATCACCAGGGTAACCAGGGCCACTGACTCTCCAGTGCTGCACCTAAGCCCTGCCAGCAAGGGTGGGCCAAGGGCTGGGAAGGGCCAGGACAGGCATCCCTGAGCAGGCAGTAGGCAGGTGCCATCTCCAGGAGGGCCAGAGTTGGGTTGCCGTCATTCCATAGCAGCACTGGGGCCCCACCATATTCTGCAGACACTGGTTAAGGGACAGAGTATGTGCACTAGTGAACCAGCATGAGGGCAGTGTGGGGGACTGCCTAGGACCTGGGTAACAGGAAGGTGGGGTCTGGGCAGACACAACATGGCCAAAGGCCTACAACTGAGACTAACCTAGACCTCAGGTGAGTGCTGGACTCATGCCCACTGACCCCCCCCACCCTCACACACACATACTAGCCTAGGGACTAAGCTGCCAGACAGAACCCTCCAGGCCCAGCTGCAAGCCCCACCACCCACTGCCCAGGATGAGTGAAGCCATACTCGTAGCGATGTACACCTCCCAGCCAGACACCAGGGCCCCTGTGGCCCTCAGTGCCTCAACCAGCCTCTCAGCCCTCTCACATATTTCCTGGGCCTGGCATCCTCTGCCCACACATCAAGAGGATGAGACTCAATTCCCTGTGGACAGCCTCAGCCTCTGCCCAGAAAGAACCTCGAAACAGCTGCCCCCAACCCTTGCCAGTCTAAGGATCCTTGCAAGAGATGCACCTCCACACTAAGCACATACTGTATGCACCCTCTGGTCCTGTGTGGCTACTGAGGCTCCTTCTCTCCAAGGAAGCTTGGTCATTTCCCTAGGGGACACTCCAAGCTGACCCCATCCCTCAGAGGTCCTGCCTCACCTGGTGCGTAGGGCCTGCCAGGCAGCATCAATGTCTGCGTAGAGGTTCTTCTCAGAGGGCCGGCCTGAGCTTACACCATAGCCAGAGTAGTCATAAGAGAAGACATTGCAGCTGATGCGGGTCCCCAGGCCGATGTAGAAGCTACTCATCTGGCCCAGGTCCACTGCGTTGCCATGCGAGAAGAGCACCGTGTACCTGGAGGACAGGTCAAGAGGCAAAAGCATAGTCCACCCTGGCAGCCAGTGGCACCTATCATCTCATCTGATCCCCTCCTGAGAGGCCACACAGCCAGTGAGAGGGAGGCACAGCTAGCGAGAAGGAGATGAGGCAAGATGGCCAACCCCACCTCAGAAGCTTCCAAGGAGAAACAGGGTGGGGGTTGGGGTTGGGAGGGATAGGCAGCAATGGCTAGGGAACAGGCTGCCTGGGCCAGGCAGCCCTGAGTGGTGGATCCTCTCACTATGATGGTCCTACCCAGTGAGCTCAGGGAGCCACAGTGCCACCACCTGGACAGCTGCCTCTAGCATGGAAGCTCTCCTAGAGTGACCTGGACAGGTCCTGGGTTGGCACAAGCTCCTGACACTGCTCAGAACAGCCCCAAAGAAGGAATTGTGTTGCCTGGCTGGCTGGGATATCTGTGCCCTCACAAGAAATGGTTGCTTTACTGCTGAGTGACAGCTGGTCCTCATCCCTGTCCCCAACAAATGAGTAGGGCCAATCCTGTTCACCGGAGACCTGTGGCCATCCTGTGAGGCCTGCAAACAGAGGAGGACCTGCCCTAGGTCAGGCCAAGGGCAAGTGCTAGGCTGGCCTACTTCCTCCAGCACCACCAGCCAACCTGAAGGTAAAAGCTTGCCCTTTGAACTCAAATCCCCACCTGAACGAAGGGCCCAGTGCCCCACCTCTGCTCTGGCTGGGATCTGGGAGGGCAACACAAGAGCAGATAGCAAGACAGCCACCAAGGGCTTGAGCCACTACAGTCACCTGACCTGCCCACCCTGAGTGATCAGACGAGTCACCCCTGTGACAAAAGACAAGATGTTGAGGGGGCTCACCAGAGGGCTACACATGGAAAGGTCAAAATGAATCAGAAGAACAGGGCATCATGACCATACACAGGTGCACTTTCATTCTGCACTGACCCACTGGCAGCCACCACCAACTATGCCACGTGCCCTGGGTAGAATACCTCTCTGCTCCTGCCCACCCCCTGCACCCTCAGCCTCTCACCTGGCACCTGGCACGCAGCGCACATACATGCAGGAGATGCGGTTTCCTCGGGCGCTCTTGGTCAAGAAGACCTCGATGGTGTCCAGCTCACGCTGGCTGTACTGGAAGTCAGCACGCTCTGTCAGGTGGATCTTCCAACGCCCAGGGGTGCCTGCAGAGGTCCGTAGGGACCCTGAGGGTGCAGCCCCAGCCCCACCAGGCCCTGGCTCAGGTTCAGGCACCAGTGAGTAGGTGGGCTCTGGAGGCAAGAAGGCGAGCTTGGCGGCAATGCGGCCAGGACATGGTGGGCAGCAGAAGAGGCAGCAGAGTTCACTCACTGATAGGCCGTTCATGGCGGGCACCAGGCCCCACGCTAGGCCTCCTCCAGGGCACCCGCCAATAACAACGTCTGGCCTCACTATGCAGAGGAGGTATGGGGGCACTCTGAGACACGGGCAGTGGGGAGGGAGCCTCCCAGGTCACTGCCCCAGACAAGAGCCTCGTTAGGAGGCTACAACCCAGCCCCATCGTAGTCCAAGCTGAGCCCCCGGGAGCCTTACAGCCACAGGTCTCCATGTCGTGCAGTGGGAAACCCTGCGGAGAACACAGAGATGTAATATCCTTCCAGGAGGCTGGGGATTAAGCCATGTACCACCCTGAGATGGGACCAGCCCCATGCAGGTAGGGATGCAAGTCCCCAAATACTGTGGATCCCTGATCCTCTTGCCCTTCCTCACCGGACTATACAGCCAGAGCCCAGCCCCAATCAACCCTGCAGAGGAAGGGGCTCTCTGCCACCCTCCCTGGTTTGTGTGGCCTTCAGGGTTTGCTGGGCCACCAGATCACTGCTCTACCCCAACCTCGCCAGCAAATGGTCCCCACTCTGGGCTCAAAGAGACAGTGTCACCCCCAGGCCTCTTCCTCTCTGCTGCTCAGACCCTACCCTGGGCCCTCTCTGTGCAAGGATTCATTGGCCACCACCAGGTGACAAAGGCAGGCACAGCTCTCAGACTGAAGAGACCCAAGAGCATACAGGCTCCTCTCGAGAGCTGGTGCTCAGCTTCAGTGTGCAGAGACATGAGTCCAGTGAAGGAAACAACAAACAAGGCTCTGGAAACAAAGGCAGGATACAGCTCAGACTCAGAAGGCCCCAATGAGCTGGAACAATGGCTCTGCCCTGTGCTTGGCTCAGGCAGGATCTTGGATGAGGTCTGGGGGCCTGGGGCTGCAACCTCAGGGCTCAATGACCTTGGACCAGTCACTAATCCTCTCTGGGCCATTTCCTCATCTGCAAATGTGGACATACTTGCTTCACAGGAGAGTAAATAGAGGAGGGGAGTGAAGTGGAGAACAAGGGGCCTAGCTCAGAGTGGGAACTTGGATGTTCCTCCTTTCCACAGGACACCATGAAAGGTGTTGAACTGACAACCGCTGAGTGGCTAAAGTGACTTCCATCATGTGCAGAGCTGCCAAATGGACAGACATGAAGAAAACAAAGTTCCAGAAAGATCTACCCACTGATCACACTTTCCCTTCCAGACTAGAATGAGGGCAGGATACACAGCTCATTTCAGCAGTAGAACACCTGCACATGCTGTCTTCTGGGTCACAGAGTTTGAAAACCACTGGACTAGGGCAAGAGGCAGAAGCACACACTTGAAAATGTGGCTGGAGCCCCATGGACACAGCTTGGGGGCCAAGAAACACACCTGCTCCCTGTAGACCTGAGATGTGAGGCCAGGGGCAGGAAAGAGTCGTATCTCAGGCAGTCAGATCCAGGGGCACATAGGGAGGAGAACTGTGAAAGCCAAGGCACATACAACAACAGAAGCAAGGAAACCCCTACTCTGAGATGGTATGCAAATTTTCCATGTGAACACTTTTCAAACAAAAGCCTATGATACTGGTTCTCAAATAGAGGTGACGCTGCTCCCAGAAGACACTAGGCAATGTCTGGGGACATTTGTGGTTGTTATGACTGGGGTGCTGCTGGCATGAAGCTAGAGGCCAAAGATGCTGTGGAGCACCTTGCAGTGCCCAGAAAGTAACTGAGCCCAAAATGTCCACAGTGATAAGGTTGAAAAATGTCAGCTGCAACATACTCTCAAAGGGACTCAGAGGCTTGGAGGGGTCTACAGTCTGGGAGGACGACCTGGTTGAGAGCCTAGGCAGAAGAAAGAGCCCCTGGCAACCTGGAGAAGGACAAGGCTGGGCAAGGGCCCACACTATCAAAGCTAGAAACATAGGTGTCATCCCAAGATCTCCTTCCATCCTCCAGGTCCAATCCAATCCATCCCCAGGCCTGCTGGCTCTTCCACCTTCCATCACCACCACCTGGTCCCCACCTCCATCGCCATTCTCTGGACTGCACAATAGTCTCCTTCCTTGAGTCTCCTCCACCCAGCATCACCCTACTCCAGACCATTCTGCCTTGACCTTTCCTCAGCACAAACCTGATAACACCTCCCTTTTGGGGTGCCCCATGGCCTCCCGCTATTCCCAGGGGATCACATCCCTCCCACAGTCAGACTCAGTTGACCTCTTGGATCTCACTTATCCTGTACTTAGTTATCCTCCTGCCTCAGGGCCTCAGTTTCCCTGCTGAGAATGCCCCTCCCCAACCCCACTGGTCTGTCTCTGCCCATCCCATCTCCACTTCTAATCTTACTCTCAGAGCTCTGAGTCCTCCATATTGGGTCAACTAATCTTACTCTCAGAGCTCTGAGTCCTCCATATTGGGTCAAGAACCCCTTCCAAACTCTCATGATTCCAAGTTTGTCTCTACAGCACTGGCTGCATTCATATTTACACCTTTATCGAGACTACCCCCCTCAACCAGAACCTCCATACAGGTAGATCCAGAAAGCACGAGCTTTCCTTCCACTGAACAGCAAGAGGAAAGGGGAAGCTGCAGGGGGAAGACAAGAGCCTCCAGGGTCTGAAGCTTTGACAGGGAAGGGGCCCAGTGTCTTCTTGGGCCACAGACACCTGGAACTTTCCATACATCATCATTGGATCAAACTGGGCTGTGCACACCTGGATGTCTCACTCACTCACTCCTCAGCACCAAGGAATCCAACCATTGTGAACACAAGCAAATAAGTGGGCACAACCAGACCCCATGTTAGCGCTGGTGTTCCGAGGCCCAACAAGCAATCAGGCAACTACAAAACTAAGACAACCTACATATGAAAGGCTGCAGTGGCGCATAATCCAGCCAGTCAGGGGGGGAAACCTGGAGAAAGGGGCAGGTCGAAAAGTGCAGAGAATGTAGCCGGGTGACAGAGGATTGGACAGGCAGAAGAGCAAGGGCTAAAACCTACAGGTAATAGCTGCCCTGGCTAGAGCAAGCAGTGGCAGGAAGAGGGGTCCTAAAAGGAGTCAAAGCCAGGTCTGGCTACTCCCGTGAGCCCTGCTGAGGACTTAGGACTTCATTCTGGAGGAAATGAGGAGGATGCAGGAATTCTGAGCCTGGGTGGACCCCATAGGTGAGAACCTGCACCTGGAGAACCTGCTGGAGTGGAGGCCCGGAAGCCGGATCGGGGGTCCAAGCTGACCAGAAGACCTTGACAAGGGGCAGAAGCAGCCGTGGGATGGCCGCGGAGTGCCAGGGGCTACAGCACGGGTGTCAGGCTGGGGACAAGAACAGAGTCTGCGGCTCGACAGAGACACTCCCTGGAACCCAGGCCGCGTCCCCCAGGAAGGTGGGCGCTCACTGCCCGCAGAGAGCTGGGTGACGGAGAACAGACTTGGCCGGAGTCCGTGGCTGGCCCGCGGTCCTCAGCCAGGACCCGCGATCGGCCCAGGAGTGTGGGGAGGTTCGAGGACATCCAGTCCATTGCTCTGGCCGCGCGGCCCGGTCTGACTTCCCAAACGGCCACAGGCGGCACCTAGACCTCCCCGCCCGCCCCTGTTCCCGAACTCACCGCCCTGGCCCGCGTCCCCTGGCCCCGGGGCTGCGCTCCATGACTCCCGGCGACCCGCCCGTGAGTCCGTCGGCCAGTCGGACGCTCGGTGCCCGGCCCGGCCTCTTGCGCCGCCGCAGCCACCGCCACCGCTCCCCCCCGCGTACGGAAGTGCGCCTCGCTCCCGCCACCGCCCCGGAAGTGACGTACAGAAGTGCGCGAGAACCACGCGCGACGCGCGTCTTGAATATGAGGTCCAAGGCTGGCCACAGGGCTAGTAAATTCAGGGGCGGAGCCTGGACCAGTGGGCGGGGTCTGCGCTCCCCGCTGGTTCGTTAATTCATTCATACAGTCCCTTCTTCCCTCATTCCCTGTCAAGAACTAGGTTGGGGCGCGTGAGATAATCCCCAAGAAAGAAAAATTTACAGGACGCCAAAATAAAATCAGTCAAGATAAATATTGTTTTGAGGACTTGGGGTGTAGTTCAGTGGTAGAGAGCTTGCCTTTCATTTTTCAGACCCTGGGTTCCATCCCAGTACCGCAAAAAAAATATAATACAGTAATACTACTTATGTCATATACTATAATCATATTATGTAATGATATATTAGTGTAACTTATAAAGTACATTATATATATAAAATCAAACTCCAGAAACTTAGACATCCTAAGCACACATTCTACCACTAAGCTACACCCCAACTGCAAGTATAACTCAGTGGTAAAACACTGGAAAAAAAATTGGTGGTGCTTGGATTTGAATTTAGGGCCTCGCCTCTACCACTAGAGACATGCCGCAAGTCCTTTTGCTTTAGTTTGTTTTTAGATAGGGTCTGGATTTTGCCCTGGCTAGCCTCAGACTCCAATCCTCCTACCTCCACCTCCTACATAGTTGGGATTACAGATGTGCTCCACCACATCAGGACCCATAAATTTTTTTGAGATAAACTTTCACTATGTAGCCCAAGCTGACCTCTTCAAACTCAGGATCCTCCTGCCTTCACCTCCTGAATGCTGGGATTACAGATGTGGAACACTATGTCCAACACCAAGAAAAAATAAATTGAAGTACTGGTATCTGAACACAGGGCCTCCTGCTCTCTAGGAAGGCGCTGTACCACTTCTTGAACCACATTCCCAGCAAAGAAAAAAAAAAATGCATCTTTTTTTTTTTTTTAATTTCCAAACTAGGACCCATGGACTGGCTATCTGTTCTGTTAAAAGATAACTCCCAGGGAAGGCTGGGAGTATATTTCAGTGGTAAAGCACATGTTTAGTCTGCACTAGGCTCTGAGTTTGATCCATAGCATCAAACAAATAAATAAGTAAAATAAAGTTTTATTGGAACCAGAGTCCTAACTAATGTTGCGGAGGGAGTTTGCTAGCTGAGATACGGGACTCTTGAGGCAGTTAGCAGGAAGCAACATTTTATTGTGCCAGCATAGACTCAGTGGACTCCTGTCCAAAGGCTGAGCCCTGAGAACAAAGGGGTCTCACCTTATATACCCTTGCAAGCAGGTTACAGAAGCAAAAAGCAAGGTCTAATCTATATATGATTATTTTAATTTTATTGGCTACTTTACCCTAGTGCTATGTGACTTTCCCCTTCCTGGCGCTACGTGACTTTCCTCAGATTTCTCAGGTTTTATCTCTCTGCTATGCCATCCCTACCTCCCTGCTACTTTCTCAGGACTCAGGCCTAGTCTGTTTTCTTCTGATCCTCCTCCCTTCTACACTAAGGTAGGGTGAATGAAGCAAGACAGTACAAGTTAAGGGTCTAATCCTTTATTTAAATCTTGATAAACTGTTTATCAATCATGGATTTTTTTGCATATTTAAAAATATTAGCCAGAGGCCAGGTGTTGATGACTCACGTATATAATCCTAGCAATTTAGGAGGCAGAGATCAGAAAGATCATGGTTTGAAGCCAGCCCAGGCAAATAGTTAATGAGACTCTATTTGGAAAAAACCCTTCACAAAAAAGGGCTGGTGGAGTGGCTCAAGGTGAAGGCCCTAAATTCAAACCCCAGTATCACAAAAAATATATACATATATATTAGCTGGGCACCCGTCATCCTAGCCACTTGGGAGGCAGAAATCAGGTGGATCAAGGTTCAAAGCCAGCCCAAGCAAATAGTTTGTGAGACCCTATCTCAAAACAAAACCACAAAAAAGGGTTGTCAGAGTGGCTTAAGGTGTAGGCCCTGAGTTCAAGCCCCAGTACCAAAAAGAAAAAAAAGCCAGTGGGTACCCACATCAAGATCCAAACTACATTTATTATTGATGGAGTGGCTCAAGTGGTAGAATGCTTACCTAGCAAGAAGCCCTGAGTTCAAACCTCAGTGCCACCAAAAAAAACAAAAAAACAAAAAAACCCAGTGGTCAGTGGCTTATGCCCATACTCCTGTCTACTCAAGAGGCAGAGATCAGGAGGATCAAGTTTCAAAGCTAACAAATGGTTTGTGAGACCCTACCTCCAAGAAAAAATTACTAAAAAGGACTGGTGGAGTGGCTTAAGGTATAGTAAGCCCTGAGTTCAAACCCCAGTACCACAAAAAAAAAAAAACAAGATCCTTAGTTCAAATCTCAGTGTTGGGGGAAAAGGAGTGGGGGAAGCATGTTTATTTTTGGTGGAGGGAAATTATTCTCCACACAGGGAACTTTCAGATTTTGACTTCACTGACTGCATGACTCTGCTTCTCCTGCTCATATCCATTCTTTCTGGAGATGTGTTCTTGCTACTTAGTCCAGGCTGCCCTGGAACTCACATCCTACATCAGCTGGGATTATAGGCATGAGCTGCCATCAGGCCTGATCTGTCCATTCTTGAAAAGCCACTTCCAAAGTCTAAGAATCATTAGAGAAAGGCCAAAAGCTTTTTTTCAAAGACAACTTGAATGAAGGAATTTATGTTTGGGTGTGTCCAGGTCTTAGCAGATTTTAAGGAGAGAGAATGAGACTCGGTCAGTCAGGAAGTAGTTTCCTGCCATGACAAGGAAGGAAGTGGGGGGCATCTTAAAATAGCACCAATAACAGCTGATCAGAGGTGGGGGCAGAGCAGACAATGCACAGAGAACCTGGAGGGGGATGAGGACTCCCCCCAGGCCTCTCTGTGAAACTAGACTCCTTTCCCTCTACACAGTCAGACCCTGCCTCCTGCCCCACCTGCCCCACCCCATGAACAGGGGCTCAAAGCAAAGACAGGAATGCTAAGCAGGTCAGGCTGGGAGCTTGTGTGGATCAGGGTCCAACAGGGGAACAACAAATGATGAACATATAGTCAATGGCTGCTGAACCATATGCTCTGAGGGCTGTGTTGTCAGGCAATTTATTTGATGTGGGAATATCACAAGCCTAGATGTGTGAGTCAGTCACTGCACATGACTTCTTACTGACGTACAGCTCAGTGGTAGAGTGCTTGTTTAGCATGCATGAGGCCCTGCAATGAAAAAAAATAAGTAAATAAAAGGAGAATGATAAAAAGTATAGTATACCCAGAGCCAGTGGCCCAAGCCTGTAATCCTAGCTACTCAGGAGGCAGAGATCAGGAAGATCATGGTTCCAAGCTCAAGGTGTAGGCCCTGAGTTCAACCCAGAACAAAATAAAAGAAAGAGAGATTTGTTATGAAGAGCTTATACAATTATGGAGGACAAGAAGTCCCATGATGTGTTCTTTGCCAGGTGGAAACCCAGAGGAGCCAATGGCAATATCTGCAATCTGCAGTTGTCAGGACTAGAGAAGTTGAGGTGGGATGTCCCAGCTTGGGCAGCCAGGAAAGAAGCAGAAGAGGCAGATTCACCTTTCTCTACCTTCTTGTTCTATTCAGGCCTGCAAGCAACTGCGTGGTTTTCACCCACATGGAAGAAGGCCTGGTCTTGGCAGAATTCCACCACTTAAGTGCCAGTCCCTCCTGGAAATATCCTCATCTGCTATCCGAAAGCGTCACTTAAAAAATCAGGTTGGAAGGAGAAACAAAATAGTTAAAAAGAAAAAAAAATGAAGGTGGAGTGCTGGGGGCATGACTCAAGTGGTAGAGTGCCTGCCTAGCAAGTACAAAGCCCTAAGTTCAAACCCCAGTACTGCCAAAAAAAGAGAGAGAAAGAAAAAGAGAAATCAAGATGGGAGCCAGGTGGTGGAGCACATTTGTAATCCCAGCTACATGGGAGGCAGAAGTAGGAGGACCTCAAACCTTAATCCAAGGTCAACCCAAGAGAAAGTATGAGATCTTACTTGTATTACTTTGAAAAACAAACTAAAACAAAAAGGGCTAGGGATGTGGCTCAAGAGGTAGAGCCCCTTCCTACCAAGCTTAAGGCCCTTCAGTTCAATCCCCAGTACCAAAACTAACAAAAAAAAGAGGCCATTTAGGTAAACTGAGACCATCGGCATGGGCACTAATCCAACCTGAAGGATGCCTTTATGAAAATATTATGGCTAGAGGTAGATCATGTACTGCTTAATACATGACAGGCCCTGGGTTCTATCCCTAGCAACAAAAAAAAAAAAAGAAAAAAAAACAAGCCAGTTAAATGGTGCATGCCTGTAATCCCAGCACTCAGGAGGCTGAAGCAGGAGGCTCACTTGAGCAGAGGAGTTCAGGGCCAGTCTGGATTCTGCCTCAAACAATAAAATAATTTTTTTCAGAGAAAAAAAAAAAGCCGGTGGAGTGGCTCAAGTGGTAAGAATGCATGCTTAGGTGTCAATATGCTTTCCTTATTTTTATTTTTACCATCCCTCTCCCGTTAGTGACCTCCCCTTAGGGTGACCTATTTAATATGCTTTTAATGTGTCCCTTTGTTCCAGAAAAACCTGGTCACTGTGTATGAGGACCAATGTCAAGGTGACAAGAGACAGAAGGGAGGGGTAACAATATATTGGGAATTTACTGACACAAGCGTGGGTCACAAAGCCAAACAGATCCCTGTAATTTGGGTTACAAAGAGGGGCACATGTATTGGTTAGGACGAAAGTGACTTCCTTCTGGCAGGAATGTTGATTTATCTCAGGATGATATCAGAGTGCAATGTCCCTGAAGCCAGGCCTGCCCAGTTGTAAAGCTCCACAAGCCACATTCATGGCTTTGCCTATTTATAGCTTTCTGGGAAACCATGCAGGAAAACAGGGTCACTCTGGGGCAATCACGATGACTCAAGA